TGATGCTTAAATAAGTTTTCTAAAGTTTCAACGATATCTCCCACAAGCATTTAACCAAATAAATTCTTCAAATAATAACTAACAAAACAGATGGATATCTACTCATGAATGAAAACATCACAAACGGTGTAAAACCAATTAGTATGTCAAACTATAGACCCAATATGTTCATCAATTTTTCTTAAATTGACAATTAATTTCATTCATCATTGGCCATAATCAAATTCAATAAATCCATTGCTCAAGTCGTACTAAATAATGTTATCTAAATGCATACCTAATAATGCAAATGCAAACAAGAAAACACCCCTAAACTTAAACTAAACATTGTCCTCAATGTATAAAGTAGAAAAACAAATTAAGACAGAGGACTTCCCTGAAACTTCGCTAGTTAGCATCGTCGTTAGTGTCTTCGTCGTCCGCTGAGTCGAAAGTGTATTCGGAAAACATAGGTGGGCTGTTCTTGGCTCCTAGTAAGGCTTTGTGTGTGCTCCAACTTTATATTCAATCCTTGGGACCTGCAAACAATTGACATACAAATTAAAATGCACTAACTAACTAACTAACTACATTATTTCTTATAAAAAAAACTAAATTAAAATAAAATGAAATAAAACTTAGAAACTAAAATTTGGGTTGCCTCCCAATTAGCGCTTGTTTTATAGTGTTCAGCTTGACTACTTCCTGTTTCATCCCGGGTCGGCAAGGGTAATTGAGGTCTTTTCATTATCAATGTTGTTGCCCCAATATTGCTTCAGTCTCTGCCCGTTCACCTTGAAAGTTCTTTTCGAATTGGCTTCCTCAACTTTGACTACCCCCTGTGGGGACACCTCCTCTTTATATAGATTGACGTTCTTAAGAGGATCTGAAATACAACTTTCTACGAATACCCCATTCATTATCATTTCAACCAAATCAACCCTAAAACATTCTTCTGCTTCCTTTAAAAATTTCATAGCTGATAATATATTGAATCTAACCTCTTGATCTTGGACTCGCATAGTTAGCTCACTTTTTTGTACATCAATAAGTGTTCTCCCCATTGCTAATAATGATCGCCCAAGAATAATAGGTATTTCTCTATTTTCCTCCCAATCTAAGACACTATGAAATCAGCTGAAAAAAAGAATTTATCCACTTTAACTAGAACGTCCTCAACTATGCCCCTTGGATAAGTGAATGATCTATCCGTAAGCTGCAATATAACATTCATCGGCTTTGCTTCATTCAAACCTAATTGCTGATAAATTGAGAGTGACATCAAGTTAATACTAGCTCCCAAGTCACACAATGCTTTCCTAAAAAATTGTCTGCCTATTGTGCATAAAATTGTAAAGCTACCTGGATCTTTGAGTTTTGGTGATAGCTTCTTTTGAAAAATAGCACTGCACTCCTCTGTAAGTGTTACTGTCTCAAAATCTCCTAGTTTTCTCTTCTTTGACAAAATTTTCCTCAAAAATTTCACATAGTTAGACATTTTTTCCATTATTTCTGCGAAAGAGATATTTATTTGGAGCTTCTTAAACACTTCTATGAATTTAGAGAACTCCTTATCCTATTTTTGTTTCTGCAAACGTTGTGGAAATGGCACAGGAGGCACAATAGGTCTCGGATTACCACCATTAGAAGTTATAACTGGATCTTCTTCATCTTTTCAATGGTTCACATTCTTGCTATTTTTTTCTTCACCCTCACTATCATCTCCAAGTGATTGTTTTAGAGTGCCACCAACAAATTCAGGTAACTCTTTTTCGCTTCGTACTATAATAGCATTGTAGTGCTTTTTACCTTCCCTCTTAGGATTGATCTCCGTATCACTAGGTAGAGTTCCTTGAGGTCGGTTGTTCATGGCATTAGCGAGCTGACCCATTTGGTTTTTTAGATTTCGGATTGATATTTTCATACTGTTCATCCTTGTCTCATTCTGTAATATGTACCTGAAAAGTAGCTCATCCAAATTCGACTTCTTTTCTTGCTGTGATGGAGCTTGTTTTTGAAAGCCTGGTGGGTATGATTGTCATGGAGCAGAAGATTAAGCTTGATTATTATTCCATGAAAAACTTGGATGATTCCTCCAACCAGGGTTATAGTTGTTTGAATTATTGCTATATTGTTGCCTGTTGTGATTACCAATATATTGTACCAACTCCGGATTAATTGCACATTGATCACTCAAATGATTCCCAACACACAATCGCAAATAGCTGTCACACTCTGAATAGGTTGCACCCCTAGAGCATTAATCTTCTTTGTCAATGTAGCAACCTGTGCAGCCAATGCAGTAACCGCATCAACTTTATAAATCCTTGCTACCTTTGGTTGATTGATCCTTGTAGAAGGCCACTGATAATTGTTGGCAGCCATCGTCTCCAATAACTCGTATGCTTCATCAAAAATTTTTTCCATCAATGCCCCACCTGCAGCTGCATTGATACTAGTCCGAGTAGCACTAAACAACCAATTGTAGAATGTCTGAACTTGCAACCACTCAGGAATACCATGGTGAGGTCATTTTCAGAGTAAATCCTTGAATTGCTCCCAAGCTTCATATAGAGTCTCAGAATCATGTTGTGCGAATGATGTGAGTCGTTCCTCATCCTTGCAATTTTAGTTGGTGGAAAGAATTTAATTAAAACTTTTTAAGCTAAATCTGTCCATGTGGTAATAGAATCCGACGACAATGAATGCAACTAACTCTTTGCTTTATCAAAAAGTGAGAAAGGGAAAAGTCGGAGTCTAATTGAATCTTCAAAAACCCCATTGTATCTGAACGTGTCGCAAATCTCCAAAAAACTCATCAAATGTTCATTTGGGTCATCATTAGGTGAACCCCCAAACTGAACTGAATTTCGAATCATTTGAATGGTACCCAACTTGATTTCGAAATTGTTTGTTTGAATTGCGGGTCTTTGAATACTTGATTGTATTTCTGTCACAAACGGCATAACATAATCCCTTAACGATTTCTGTTCATGTTCCGCCATGATTTCTTGATTATTTACTTCTTGACATTGTTTTCGCAAGTTTTGGAGCATTCTTTCGATTTCTTCTTCGTACGATAATAGCTCTTGACCTGTAGATCGTGTTTGCATACAAAATTCAACAGTACATGCGAAAGACATTAAAACAGAAAATTAAATAAGTTTAAACTAAGATCAAATTGATTGAAATTAATATTGAAATAATTACTAGAATAATTCTCCGATAACGGCGCCAAAAACTTGTTGTCTGAATTTGATATTGACAATTTACGTTCAAGTATACACGATCAACAAGTAATAAAGTGATAAGTAAAGTATCATTCTCACGAAGAATTATTGCTAATAATATCCAAGTACTAACTTTATATCAATTCAATTTTATTTAAACAATTGGAATTGACTAAAAAATTACTACTTTAAAACTAAATCTAAACTTAATAATCACGGGTTGAATTTATCGAATAAAAGAATTTAATATTACAACTTCCCCTAATGTTTCGTACAAACTTTTTTAACTCTTTTTCCAGTTAATTGATCAAAACAAGTTGTTAACTGAGAACTCAAAGTTATTTATCAAACATTTTCCGATAGTTAAATAAAAATATCTATCCCAACTAAATTACTATATTCCTGTGTAAAATAATTTGGAATAGATTTATTAAGTTCAGACTCTTATAAAAGTTACACACGACATATAGGTATATTTCTATCCCAACAATTCAATCCTAAGAAGAATTAACCAGACACATGTCATCATATTCGAATCTAAATCAAGAATTCATCTTCCAATTTCATCTAGGTTATTACATTAATTGTTGGCCACACAATCATATATTAAGCACTATATAACAAACGACTCATGTATGATCAATAAAACTAGAAATGAGAGTAGATCAATTTAACTAGACATTAGGTTCCGTTGCAATCCTAATAAATATTTAGTTCATAATGTAATTGAAAAACATCCTTCTCAAATTAAACAACATCTCAGAAATTCAAGAAGTAAAAGTAAGAGAAAAGAATGAAAACTTAATTGCAATCTTCACTTTCTTTCTAGCCTTTGATTCCGATTTTCTTTGCGTTGATTCTTTCAATCCTTGTCTTTAATTTTCTATCAATCCTTGGTCTTTTTCAATGTTAGCAGCCCCCAAAATCATTATATCACAGTCCCAACTCAAACCCTAGCATATATGTATCATTAGGGTTCAATTTCGGGTCAAAATAAGTCAAAATTCGCGTCACGAACCAACACAAGTGCAGCTACGTTGAAAAAGCGCTGAATGGACAGTATGTGGGCGCAGGGGCGCTGAAAAGGCTCTGGAACAGCGCTGGCCTTTTTTAAGCCTTTGGCTCCCTTGTTGCTTAGCCTTCAAAAATCCAACACTTAGGCTCCAAATTGACCTTGTTTTCTTCCAAATGATCTTGTTTGCTTCCAAATGATGATTCCTACCAAATAACATCAAAACACATAAAACAAATAAAAAGGAACATAAAATAATAAAAAATTTACAATTTCATCAAGCCGAAAGTACTCAATTCGTAGGTATAAAACCCACTCATCATTTACAATGTCATGAAGGGGTGAGGGCTTGAAACCTTCAGATTGAAAAACCAAATGACAAAGTCGTCATGGTAGCCTTCACAAAAGGCCCGCGCTCATCCTGTCTTATGTTTTCAGTCATGAAGCGACCACCGAAGAATATGGTAGAAATACTATCAATAGTATAGAAATACATAAACGTTGAGGATATCATCAAAGCAATGCTAGCTGGGTCCTCACTTAGTGGAGAATACAAAAAGTAGACATGTCCAAAATCTATTTTTTCACTAATTTGTGGTTAAAGTTCAAAATCAATGAAAAATAAGGCATTTTTTAGAGAAATCTAGGGCCCACTTTGACACTGGTAGATCTCGAAAAAATATCTAGATTCAAAGAAAATTTGTTTCAAATAGACACCAAGCACAAAATTATGGTCGTTCAAAGTTTTGTCATTTCTTCATCATTTTCTAATACTCCAACTAGTGCCTAGCGCCCAACCTACACTTGGCGCCTCTATGCCTACGCAGGCGTTGCATAACCTGCCTCAATTGCCTGGTGCCACATCCTGCACCAGCGCGGGCGTCACCCAACTTGCCTTGCCTGCGCCTAGGGCGCCCAGCTTGTTGCCCAGTCTGGCGCAGCCTCTTATGCTTGTGCTCGATTTAGATTGAGAAAAAAGTAAGTCCTGATCTAACATATGAAATTTTGAGTAATTTGAGTTTCACTGCCACTAGTCAAGAGAAGGAAAAATTCTCAAAGGCTACTTCAAAGGGTCGCTCATGGAAAACCAAATTAGAGGCAATGTAAGTTGCTACTTGACTATCAAAGAACATTCTCATAAGATGAAACACCTTAACTCCAATATCACATAGTAAGATGTCGCCTGCAGACTCACCAAGGGCGTTGTCCAGGCCACCCACCGGGTCAACAACATCACCTGAATGCATCGTCTGCATCGCATGCCTAGCTCATCCAGTAGTGCCCCCTTCAGGCGCATTAGGCAACCTTGTTTCTGTGCCTGTAGTCCATGCTCCATTGAGTCTATCCTCCCGATGCCCTCTGGCTACCCTTGTTGTCCACTCTCCTCTTCTCTCCGTCTCTCGGGAGAAGGCCTCCCAAGTCGCCAAAGGCTCGATCTCATTTTGCTTCTGCTCTTACGTAAGTAGCCTTACTCCCTAGCTTAGCGGCTTTCTCCCGAGGTGCCAAAATCTCCGCCTGACTCTACTTTTACTTTCACGCAAGCAAACTTACTCCCCATCTTAGCGACTTTCTCATGAATTGTCAAAAGCTCGCCCTTATTCTGCCTCTCTTACTAGTCGCCAAAAGCTCAGCCTCTGCTTTCACGCAAGAAGCCTAAGTCCCCACCTTAACGGCTTTCTCACGAGTCGCCAAAAGATCAGCCTTACTCTGCCTCTGCTCTCATGCAAGCAACCTCAGTCTCCAGCTTAGCGACTCTCTCACGAGTCACCAAAAGTTTGGCCTCACTCTATCTTTGCTCTTACGTAAGCAGCCTCAGTCTCTAACTTAGCTGTTCTCTCATAAGTCGCCAAAAGCTCAGCCTCATTCTGTCTTTGCCCTCACATAAGCAGAATCAGTCTCTAGCTTAGAAGCCCTCTCACGAGTCACCAAAAGCTTGGCCTTACTCTACCTCTGCTCTCACCCAAGTAGCCTCGGTGTCCAACTTAGTGGCTCCCTCATGAGTCACCAAAAGTTAGATTGCACTCTGCCTCTATTGTCACGCAAGTAGCCTCAGTCTCCAGCTTAGCAACTTTATCACGAGTAGCCAATAGCTCGGTCTCATTCTATCTCTGTTATTATGCAAGCAGCCTCAATATCCAGCTTAGTGGCTCTCTCACAAGTCGACAAAAGCTCGGCCTTACTTTGCCTCTGCTATCACACAAGCAGCCTTAGTCTCCAAGTTAGCGGCACTTTTACGAGTCGCCAAAAGTTCGGCCTTACTTTACCTCTTACATAAACAGTCTTGGTCTCCCGAAAGCTCTGCCTCAAGAGTTATTGTTTTCTCATAAGCCAACCTCAATTACTCCTTAGCAGCTTAGCACGCCCGTTTGTCTTTCGTTAAAGCTCTCGACACCTCATCGAGTTTGAAACATCCTTGAAACAAGGAACAAAAAAACTACAGTCATCTATGAATATCCAAAGGCAAAAATGGTAGTATGTCCAAAACATACAAAAGACAAGATGACACAGAAATGAAGAGTACCATAGCAAAGTCATCCATCGTGGTATCGATGATACCCTCAGGACCCCGAGAGCCGACCTCTCTAATATCTAAGGATGTCACAAGCCTCCAAAGTCGCTACTTGGCTAAATTCACGTACTGCATCATGGACACCTGGCCACTGCTAGAAACAAGAAAATTGTGCGGAACTTCGGTCTTAGTGGGAGTCTACACAAGAGCCTTAAACTCTAAAGTATCCTAGGACTAACCTTATGACATGCTGAGAAGAAGTGAGGACACCATCAAACCCGCTTTCCAAGAAATAATAGGGCCATTAGACCTAAGATAAGGTATCAGATCTTGTCGTCATCCTAGTGACATAGAGAGCCTCCACCATTGATCTGTCAACCACGGGATCACCTATGGAGTTTGAATGAAAAAGAGAATTTTAAGAAGTTGAAGACATCATTAGTTTGCCTAGATCCTCCATGGTATCGTACATGATGCCACCTAGCCTCATGCCTCCCCTAGCATTACCCAGGTTCATCTCCCTTTCCAATGTGCCACTCGCCAAAGTATCTCCATCTCCTTGGACATAAATGTCCATGCCTTTTTTCATCCTCTTTCTACTTCTTATGGAAGGAAGAAAAAGAATGACAATTCCCTAGTTCTAATCAGGAAAGAGGGGTTTGAAAGACCCAAAAGATAATTTTTTTTGCTAGCATAGTGGATCTCCAACAATGGTGCTACCGAATAGAGAAATAAGCTTAAAAAATGCAATGGAGTGGAAAGCCACCATATGAAACAATGGCGCTACCGAATGAAGAAGCCACGATATGGAACAAGATACCTTGGTCTATCCAAATGAAGGAGTTCACTCATGCCCTCAACCCCTCTCACTACTAGAGCTTGGGGCATGGTGGCAAATGATGACCTTAGATTTAGACCAAGCCTGGGCCCAGTTTATGGGTTTAGCCAAAATCATCAAAATGTAGACCAAACTTAGGTCGTGGCATTAGTCCAATCCAAAACCCAAGACTCCAGAAAGAGTCAACGCACATGAGAGAGCAATTATCGAGATAGTCAATACTCCAAGATAGTGCTCATTCCCAATTGTAGTTATCATACTTGATAAATTAGTAGTTTGACATTCACGTCACTGCCTTAGTTAAGGGTCTATGCCTATAAATTGTAAACCCCCCACACATGGGGCCAAATCTTACATACTACACCTTGAGTGCACTCTTGCTCTCTCTCTCTCTCTCTCGCCCCTACTACCCTGTACTCTCTCAATAATAGAGTTCTCCAGTCACCATTGTAACCTTCATTATTTAGGTCACCCAGTTGTTCTATTAATTGCCATGCACCACACACTCAACAGATTTGATTGTGCATAATTAGATTTTTGCATCATTAGTAATGTTGACGATGTGTAACCATTATACCCAATATTTTTGGAATTAAATAAATTTTTAAAGTTGAAGTGGGTTGGACTTAAATTTTATAAATAAACTAAAATCCACAAATTTATGGGTAGTCCATTACTAAAAGTTCATATAAGGGTATTCGGGTAAACATACCCTTATATGGATAACTATCATTCTTATATGGATAAATTTTTTTATCACTATAAATAGAGGTCTATGAGAGGCCAAAGGAGGAAAGCAAAAGGAGAAGAAGCCAAGGAGGAAAAAAGATCGACGAACATTGCAAGATTATATTGCTCGCATTATGTCGTCATATCATATTTCCCTCACTGTCATGTGCCGCCAACCCGAGGTGGACAAGTCGGAGTGCTTTGACTCTTCTAGGGAAATTGTCTTTTACAATGACATCCTAGAAGCTAGGTTAAGATTTCCTATTCCTAGGCCTATCTGTCTAATTCTGAGCCACTTGTCACTTACTTCGAGGAGACTGATCCTAAATGGTTGAAAGGTAATCTTGGCATTCTTCTCACTATGATGGTTGGTTCATGGAGAGGATATTTCTCCCTCTTTTAAGGAGTTCTTAGCTTCATGCATGCTTTTGGACAATCCTATTCCACATCAAGGGTGGTACCATTTTGCTCCAAGATCGGACAAGTTGATCACGGAATTACCTTTGAATGGCCATAGTTGGAAACCTAGATTCTTTTTTGTTAAAGGCGTATGGGCCATTGAGGAGGCCCGTGACTTAGTGCCTTTGCGATGGGACATTACTTCGATGACCAAGCTAGGTGAGGGTTTTGCCTATGTTTTTATGTCTGATTGTCATGTCTTTTGCATTTATTGCATGCTTGGTTTCCTTGCAGCTTCACCCACGTTTTTGAAAAGCAAGAAAGTAGGCTCTAGGCTATGCAAGATCATCTTGTCAAGTAGTTTGCAGCCCTTATGAGCAATTGAGGCTAGAGATACAGCCACGAGAAGCTATCGAGGAGTAGTTGAAGCTAGCTCATGAGAGAGCTGCACTTCTTAAGGTGAGCTTCTAGCATCCCAAAAGAGGGCTGCTCAGCTGGAGGCTAACAGAGAGGTTGCCTATGTGAGAGCAGAGATAGAGCTGTGGGCATCCTACTAAAGGGCCACTAGAGCTGAGACCGAGCTACAAAAAGCTCAGGAGAGGGCTGTCATGACAGAGGCTAACTTGCGAGTAGCTCGTGACAGAGCCAGTAGGACAGAGACCCACTCCATTAAGATGGAGAGAAGGAAGGAGGCTACTAAGAGGGCCGTTGCAGACACTTTCATTGATGGTTATGAGGAGCTTAGATGGAAAGTCTCAACAGCTTTTACTGCCACTAAGTTTTTTTCTTTTGTCCCATATGAGGCACTAGAGACTAATATTAACGGGGAGAGCTTTGATAAGAGTGGATCGGGGGGCAGTGAGTGACGTTGAGAGTATAACAACTTTTATTTTTTTGTCTCTCTTTTTGTTGATAGGTCATGTTCTAACTTTTGTAAATAGTTTGCAAACTTCTATAGGAAGAAAGATAGTTTTGGAAAAAATAATTCTTGCAAAGTTTTATTTCATAATTTTAAGTAATACATAACAAAAAGAATTAAATGAAACAACAAAAAGATGATAGTGACTAACTTGCACCCTCGTTGACTTGTACCCCATTATTGATAATACCTCTTCAAGTGTTTCGCGTTCATGGATGGGTCAAGGCTTTCCCCTCAGAGTTCTGAATTTTGTAGGTGCCCAGTCTTAAAACTTCTATAATCAAGTAGGGTCTTTCCCAATTAGGGCCTAACTTCCCTTCCTAAGAGTCCTTGGTAGATAGGATGACCTTTTTTAGGACTAGGTCCCCAGGTAAGAAGGAGTGAGGCTTCACCCTTGAGTTGTAGTAGTTCATCATGTGACACTTGTACTCCATATTCCTGAGTATGGCTCTCTCCCTCTCCTCCTCTATCAAGTCGAGGTTGATGTGAAGACCTTTTTCATTAGTGGTAGGGTCATGGTGTTCGACCCTAAGGGAGTGTACCCTAATTTTGATTGGTATGACTGCCTCTGTCCCATAGGCTAATCAGAATGGGGTCTCACCCGTAGGACTTCTTGGATTTGTTTGGTAAACCCATAGTACTCTTGGGAGCTCGTCCACCCATCGCCCATTAACGCTTTCCAATTTGGTCTTCAGACTTCGGTGGATTGTTTTGATGGTGACCTCCACCTGCCCGTTCACTTGTGGATGGGCCAGACTAGAGTGGGGCTACTTGATCTGTAAGTCAGCACAAAAGCTATTAAGGAGTTTGTTGTCAAACTGCTTAGCATTATAACTTATTATTTCATAAGGCA